CATGTTAAAGTTCATATGCGAATGTATGATGGAAATACGCAATGTTCATACGAAATGCTGGTCGTGGATAAACTTCGTGTTATAGGAGTTTGCACGCACAAATTCGTATGCAGATGGGAAATGTGAGTTCGATTGCAGGTCCCCACCCTTGGTGCCTCGCATGTTTTTCTACAGCCCTATTTTGGGGGGACGGGGCAGTTGCCCTATTTTAAGTAATGGTGAAAACAAGAAAAGTTGGATGATTTGGTCGGATGCATGGAACGGATTGTCAGGCCAGGCCCACCACATCCCGTCCTCAAATATTATTTTGACAAGTCTAGCTCTTCATGGCGGAATTAAACGCCCCCCCCCCCCCCCCCCCGCCCCAGGGCCAGCATATGAACCTGAGTCAGTGGGAGTGGGGCAGACCGACCGCAAGATGGAGGAGACCGGGTGTTAAGAAGTGCCCACGGCAGGTGATCCACCATGGTAGCTGTGTTCACCCTTGACGCTGCTCCCTGATGCAGCCCGCTACGACAGCCCGACCTTGACCCTCCCCCATGCTAGACGAACGTTAGCACACGGTTGGATGAGGTTCAAATTGCCCCCAACCCCAAGGTCTTTTCAGAATGGTTTCGGAACGGCGCGGCGTGGCCGCGTCAAAATCTGCATAGCTGTGGACAGTTGAATAGCGGATCGTTTGGTGTCGAAAGTTTTAGATGCATCTAGTAAGGTCGCTGACCTGTGTCAGGTCAAGATCAGGCCATGTTTTCAGCAAAGTCCACTTCCAGGCAATCGTTCAATCTGACGCAACAACGGAGTGTTAGACGAAGCCATGCATCTCTGAGATGCTTTCTTAGAAAACACAAATATTAAATGAGAAAATTGCGTTGACCTTAGGTCAGGTATAAAGGTCAGACCAAAGTCAACATCAACTTCTTTTACTACTCTAGGACTTGCTGTATGGGATATCCTCTGCTGCTCATTTCGAATTTATTGATAGCAGGAGCCGCATTGTACATCTTCCATGGACTTCGTAGAGGTCAGAATAGGTCACTGACTTAAAATGACCCACGGCAACATTTTGTTTTTAGATACATACTGCTAGCGTAAGCTTTGTCGCCTATTCAAATGCAAGGCTCAGATGTATGGTATGGTATGTATGGCATATGGTATCAATGTATGGTATGGCACATAGCCCAATTTCAACAGAAATTTCTACTCGCCCACTGGTCAAAGGCATCACCAAATGTGACCACAAACCATGCATTTCGAACTCAGCCTTATTCAGTTTATCACTATATCAGCTGTAAATTTCGCGTCCCTAGCTTTCTTAGTTCCCGAGATCTCAGGCGGTCAAATTGCCCCCCTCCGGAACGAAAGGTATGTAGCCGGCCACCCGGGCACGTATTAAAATAAGATTTATTGACAGCTCATTTTATGTTTGCACACAAAGCTCAATCCACGTATGATAAGGTATGTCATGGTATGGTATGTACATTCAGCTCTGGTTCAACCGAAATGGGAGAGGTATGTTACGGTAGTTTAAGATACAGGTATGATGCATAAGATACCTGTTTAAGATCCATGTATGGATCAAAGGCATTACCAAATGTGACCACAAACCATGCATTTCGAACTCAGCCTTGGCTGATATTTCAACCTGGAATCGATGCGCAGCACCGTTTTCTCCTGCTTGGTGCCTTCTTTCCCCTTCATTCTCTTTGGCCATCTTAGCCCATCGTCGCTTACCAGTCACTTTCCGCAGAAGTTGCAGACATCTTCGGTAGTTTCCCTTTACGTCCGGGTTGTTGTTTCAGTTTTGGCGAAGCTGTGAACACGGTTATAATCGAATTGAGTTGCTCGAAAAATCCTCCAACCACGCACATGTCTGGTGGTGCTTAATTTTGTCCCAGAGAGACTCCAGCAGGTGCAGCCGGCCACCGAGGTGCAGGAACGATGGATTTCCATGCAGCTCTCTCCAGATGCGGCCGAAGCCACTGACTGGTTCCGAGTACACGGCCTCGCAGTCCAAAGACGCAGAGAGGGCTTGACGCCCAATCTCGTCCATTGTCAGTCCCAAGTCGTTGTTAAGGTAGTCAGTCACGTGAGCGAGCACACCCCGACCGTTGGTCTCGTTGCATCCAGTGACTGCATCACACTGCCGCGGCGGGAGGGTGGCTGCGTAGATTGGAACGGGGTCAGGATACGGTCTCACCACTGCGGTCGTCCCGTGAACTACCGCAGTGTTGGCGTCGGTGTCAGGGAGTCGCAAGTTCACAGCCTGTAGCGTCACGCCAGCCACTGTGACCTTGTCCATGGACAAGTTCATGTGCCGGGCACGTCCAGTCACAGGGTTTGGCGTCCTGATGTGTTGCTTCGGCTTGTCTTTGGAAACGTCATAAATCACGTCCACAGACTGGGCAGCGGCTAGGTGAGTTTGATACTGACCACCAATTTTGACCCCTTAGGTATCCAGAAGAAGGTGTTTGCGTTCCAAGTCGGGATACATATCACCACGGGTAATTATATACGCGATGGTTATATTTCTAAGTGGCTTAACGACGCTCCTCCCTTTTTCGCTGCACCAGCCTGGGGGAGGGGGAGGGGGAGGGGGAGGGGGAGGGGGGGGGGGGGGGGGTATCGCCCTGCGTGTCCGCTCTGCCGTCACGGAAGGTCGATGTCGGTCCGAGACCGCATGCTTTGCCAGCCGTTGGTTTTTTTCGGCCGTTCGAGAGAACATCTTGATCGTACCACGGGTCCGTGGTGCCTCTGTCGGTGTAGTGGCGCTTGCGCCACCGGCTGATGTCATACTTCTTGTCGCCGCGTCTATCAAGGAGTAGCCAGTTGTCTGTGTCGCTGTCTGTTGTCGCCTCAGTGTCCGGTTGGGTACCTCTGTCGATGTTTGCCAGGGTGGTCCGTACGTCCCGCGTCTCGTCTGTGGCCGTCTGCTTACGTCCTGATGAACAAATAGTCAGACTCTCGAGTGGAGCTAGACGTTTGTCGATCATAGCCTTTCGCCGCCGGTGGCAATCACAGCATGCACATTTCTGCTCTTCAACAAACGCAGTCGGCATTCCTCCAAGCGCATGCACGTCAGTGCCTCCTACCACACCTGCACCACCAGTCTGCCTCGCCCCAACATTCTCTACGGCTCTGCTCTCATCCACCACCTCACTTCCTACAGCGGTAACTCCTCCCTCGATCTGCACACCACAAGCCAGCGTCACCTCCACATGCCCACTCCCCACCACCTCGCCTCCTCCAGGAGCCACGCTTCCATCCACATGCACGCGACGAGCCTGCTGCATCTCCACATGCGTGCTCCCCACCACCTTGCTCCCCACCACCTTGCCTCCTCCTCCTCCTTGCCTGCCTCAGACTGCGACCAGGAGCTGACGGTGTGCCGCCCGCAGATGGTGGGTCTGGTCACGGGCCAGTTTGATCCGGACTCGGCCAACCAGCGAATCGTGAGCCCCCTGGGTTCCGACTCGCACTCCTGGGGCCTCTCCTTCCACGGTGAGGCCGCAGCGCCTGGTACATTGTCTGCACGGCTGTGCGGGTTACGCGCTGCTCACTGACGCACGTCTCAATCACAGGCCCGCTAAACTGTTCTAATGTAATTGCGTCGGGAATAAAGAAGGCGTGGTGTGTCGCTCATGCTACACCTGCTGCTGGTTCGCACTCCATGACGTTTGTTAAATTATTCGGGTTGTGTTGCTGGCGATTGAGGTTTAAGGGTGCATGTGATGTTGGGCTGCCAGGGTGAGAAGCAGGCGGTGTATATAGCCTCAGTAGCTGAGTGCGTCGTAAATCCACAATTAAAGTAGCGTCTTTTGACTCCAGTCTTCGAGTTCGGTTGCTCGTAGCGTTATGCCATGCACAGTCACGATGTTGCCCGTGTGGCTTCATGATGTGCGATCGGCATCGACTGTTACGATCCCCGGCACCGACCAGTCAGCGAGCTATGTCCGGCATCTCACACCGTCACTTCAGAGCGTCCAAGTCGTCGACTCCAAAGGTGCGCGCTGTCCTGACGCCGTCCTGATGCTGCGCGTCGCCAGGTTCGATCCGCCATGCTGGCCGTTCGCAGCCGTACATCAGCCTCTTCGGCAAGGGCTCCATCATCGGAGTCTACGCCAACCTCTTCTCCAGCATCGTCGAGTTCTTCCTCAACCGACGCGCACTGGGTGAGTCGGAACGCTTGGTGGGTGAGTCGAGACGCTTACTGGGTGAGTCGGGGCGCTTACTGGGTAAGTCGGGGCGCCTACTGGGTGAGTCGGGGCGCTTACTGGGTGAGTCGGGGCGCTTACTGGGTGAGTCGGGGCGCTTACTGGGTGAGTCGGGGCGCTCATTGGACGAGAGGGGCCGCGAGCCTCCGCTTGACGAGAGGGCCGCGAGCCTCCGTTAACTTCATAATCACACGCAACCTACCTGTCACAGATTGTCCTGTTCTTCACACACAGCTGTTCCACACACGACACAGCGACCTGGGCCAAAGGTGGCCCCCGGGGTGCACACACACACACACGCACACACGCACGCACGCACGCACACACACACACACACACACACACACACACACACACACACATACACCTTATGCCTTAAAATACGTATCAATGCAGTGTCAGTGCCTTAAAGATCGATGGATCAAGTAAAGTGAACTTGCTTCCGGCTTATCTGTCTATACCCCGCAATTAGAACGTGCTCGAGCTCGTGCGTTTTCATAAAATAGGAAATAACACAGATCCGTGCTTTGAAATGGAAAAAGTGAGACATGACTTAATGGCTGCTCCCGCCGGACTGAGCTCAGGTCATCAAGCGCAGCTTCCCATCGCCGTCCTTTGTGATGCCTTTTGTCTGTCGGTCACGGAAGCAGACCAGTTTGTGGGTCGGAAAGCTGGCCGTGGCGCCATAGCGGACCTGCGTCGCTCGTCCGCTCTTCCTTCCTGGAAAGCCTCGCCCCTGGATCCCGGACCGCCCCCTGGGTCCCGGACTGTATATTCAAAAGACGCGAAGGTGAATGCATATATATTCACTACGGAGTCGCTTCAACCACAAGGTACACCGCAGTCCAAACACTCAGGCGCCGGCAAAAATCACAGCAGAAACATCACAGCTGCACCAAAAATACCCGGTCCTTGATATGATCGTAACGTAAGGAGTCTCTACTGCAATGAAACCCGTCAAAGCAACTATGCCACTGAATCTGTTCCAGATACCATCTAGGTTATAACCTTGTAGCGAAACAAACATTTTGCTTGACAAGCTTGACTTCGTTACGCAAAACAATTGTAACGAAAACACTTCAAATAAAAAAGGCCTTCTTAATGGGCTACCTTAACCATGCTCTGGCTTCGCATGTCACATGTACCCGTACAATAGGAATGCGCTCACAAGCTTCGAGAGGTTTTGCTTGGTACGTCACATGTACCCGTACAATGGAAATGCGCTCACAAACTTCGAAGGGGTGTGGACTATACAAGCACAACCTCACATGAAAGACGAGCTATTCCGCCAACCTGCACTATCCGCTAATCCGTTAAATCAAAGCAGAACCACCACACCCCAGGCCTCGGGAGACGACCCTCGCGAGGCACCACACCGGAGATCTCCAACACCCATATCAAGAGAAACTCAAACTCCAGTGCAGACCGCTTGTAAAAACAAACAAGGAAAAAAAACCACGACCTTAAACATGAGTTGAGCGGCTTAGGTCAACCCACACTGCATTCTGTTCAATCCAAGCAGAAATATCACACCGCATTTCTTCCCAACGAGGCGCCGCACTGTCCTAGCGAGGCGCCGCACTGTTCTAGCGAGGCGCCGCACTGTCCTAGCGAGACACCGCACTGTCCTAGCGAGGCGCCGCACTGTTCTAGCGAGGCACCGCACTGTCCTAGCGAGACACCGCACTGTCCTAGCGAGGCGCCGCACTGTTCTAGCGAGACACGATACTGTCCTAGCGAAGCGCCGCACTTTACTAGCGAGGCGCCGCACTGTCCTAGCGAGGCGCCACACTGTCCTAGCGAGGCGCCGCACTGTCAACTAAAAGCCCGGATCAGGATCAACTAAAAGCCCGGCGAGGAACACTGGAAGTCCGGTGAGGAACACTGTTAAAAACAAACCTGAGCACTTCTTTGACACGGACTTCACGGAAGTCCGCTGACGTCATAGGGCACGAGTCCAGGTCCCTGCAGACTCGCTGATCCCCCGGTCGACGCCCTCAGCCTGAGCTGCCCGGCGGCGAGGGCAAGGCCGACGCGGAGGGCGACGCAGACGGCACCTCCACCTTCGTGTACTCGACGTGCGGCTGGGGCGAGACCATGGCCACGTACTCCTGGGGGCGGCAGGCAGACGGCCGGTGAAGCCGGACAGGTCACTCTCGCCGTCAGCCCGGACACTGCGCCGGGGGGTATTGCTGCGACACGAGCCACCCCACTGCTGCGAGCCTGCAGTCGGCGACATTGGCCACGTCTCCGTCTCCCGATGCACGCGACGTCTCTGTGCCTCGTAAAAGCCTGTCTCCGAACCCGAATCTCCCCGCGGCGTTCCATCCCACCGACAATGGCCGGCAGCCCAGCCAGAATCGCGATCTTCAGCGACGCTGCTGCGGCCGCCCGCGCCGCCGGCGCCGCCTGGCCGCCTGGCAACACCGCCTCACCAGGCTCCAACACTGTGAGCTCCCGTGTCCCCGTGCCGAGAATGCTGCGCTGCGGCCGTACCATGGGCGTCAGCGCCGCCAGCACCACGTCCAGCCGCTGCATCAGGCGGCCAAACGAGGGTCGCTCGGCCGGCTCCAGACGCCAGCAGTCCAGCATCACGTCGTACCTGCGGCGGGGCGCGGCCACGTCACGGACCGGCCTCGGGTCTCGAGCTGCGCAGCCTCCGCGGCGGACCGCGCCGGGACCGCCACTCGGGCAGGTCCGCTGACGCGGCCGGCCGGTGGGGCGTGACAAAAGATGGCGCGGCAAGATATGTATTAACGTATATGCCCCGATTGTCGGGGCCTGGTCCCGCGTTCGGCCAGTGCTGGGCGGTGGGCACTTACCAGGCCCCGTAGACATAGCATCAGGCGTCACTACACAAGACATGGAGTGGTGGGCCTCCAGGAGCCCAGGCAACAAACATCTGATGGCGTTTCTCCCAGCTGCCGAGCAATAGCCGCGTGGTTTCGTGGTTTCGTGAGCGAATCGGCTACTGAGACCATGTGGCGTGTTGACCCGCGTCCAGTCTACAGCCCACTGCTGGCAGGCCTGGCGCGGCGCTGATTGGCAAAGCTGCAGCGCACGGTGACGAATACCTTTGTCCATGTCGATGCGCATAGAATAGCACTGGAGAATTACTAGCACTTGGTGCCTGTGGACAAATCCTGTTTCGTTGGGGCGGGTTCCTGGCAGCGTAATACTGAGCAGGGCCGCAAGAACGGGTAGCGGATTAATCCAAAGAGAGCCGCGACGCCACCCTATGATCCTCTCCCCATCCTAACGGAACTCGGCGCCTCCGGAGTGGGATCGGACACGCTGCCCCAGCGGGTCGAGGTCAGACTCGACCGCCTCTGCCCGTGGCACGAGGACTCACACCCGGCTGCCCTTGCTGGCGGTGTGGCTGGCTGTCGGCCGCAGACGCTCGGGGCCCGGCCGGCCGTGGTGGACAGCCGCCGGTGCCAGTCTCCGCCGGGGCGGGCTGAGTGGTGCCGACAGCGCGCCGGCCGCGGCCGCAGCTGCGGCCAGAGACACGGGACACCGGTCAGGTAGGCGTGACGCCGTCACCGGGCCAATTACACCGCCGGCCGGGCATCAGCTCCACCGGCCCAGTGGGCCAACTGCCGGCACTAGGCGACCACCCAGCCCTCCGCCCGACACCACCAGACGTCTGACCTCCGCACCTCACTCGCCCCCACTCACCGCCGCATGCGGTGGCCGGACCTGGTGTTCGACCGGCGCCGGCCGCTCTGTCACCGGTGGCCGGCCCGGAGCGCGTCCTCTCATGGTTGCGCGGCAGCGAGTGGTTCGCCGTCGGGTCGACCCCGCCGCCGCTGCCGCCGCCGCCACGCGGGACCGCCCGCACCGACTCGTACTCGTAGTAGTTGCTGATTGGCCATTCGGCGGTGCTCGGCTCGGCGCGCCGGCCGCGCTGCGAGTGGCACACCTGGTGCTGCCGCCTGGCGGTCACAGCTGAAGTTAGGAGCAGGGACGCGACACTGCGCAGGTGCTGGCAACCAACTCTGGCAAGTACACCTGGTGCCACCAGCTGGCCGCCCGTGCTGGAGGTAACAGCAGGGTGCGACGGTGCTGAGGGATGGATCAATTGGCTGAAGGGACCGGAGTTATGAAGGCATTGCCACCTGCACGCCCAGTGTCTCTGGAGCCGGACGTGCCATTTGCGTAGCTGAAATGTCGCACATTTGACAAATCTCAGACATTGGAAAGACAACCATCGAGATATTCTGTCACCAATCATCGCAATGATCACGAACGGGACAGGCATGCCCCAGACCATCCGACACGAATCGGACGCAACGACACAAACGGCCTGGGCACGATCACCGCGGCGTAGGCCTTTCGCCAGGGGACATGCATTGAGCTCACCAGCCAGCGAGGGGGCCATTACACTTCCTTGTATGCACGCCAATGACCACATGCAAGCGACTCTGGCCGAGTACGACAGGCAAGCGACTCTGGCCGAGTACGACAGGCAAGCGACTCTGGCCGAGTACGACAGGCAAGCGACTCTGGCTGGGTACGACAGGCAAGCGACTCTGGCCGAGTACGACAGGCAAGCGACTCTGGCCGAGTACGACAGGCAAGCGACTCTGGCTGAATACGACAGGCAAGCGACTCTGGCCGAGTGCGACAGGCAAGCGACTCTGGCTGGGTACGACAGGCAAGCGACTCTGGCCGAGTACGACAGGCAAGCGACTCTGGCTGAATACGACAGGCAAGCGACTCTGGCTGAAGACGACAGGCAAGCGACTCTGGCTGGGTGCGACAGGCAAGCGACTCTGGCTGAGTACGACAGGCAAGCGCCGCGACAGCCGATGGCTTCCGTGGGCCCATCATGCGCACCTGCCCTACGAGCAATGATGCGAACAGCACGGGGACAACGCCGCGCTCGCGCTCGCACGGGGGCCGGGGGAGGCGTGCTCATTCGGGCCCACGGAGACCAGGCGTCAAAATGTGGCAAGAACAGAGCTAAACAAACGCGACCGAAATGAACCCCTGAACTCGGCCGGTGGCGCTTGGACAAAGCAGACTCTCGACGGGCGGACAAACGTGTGTCCGGATGCTACCTCCCCACACCTGGCCTCGTCCCGGAACTTTTCCTCCAGTCGACTGACCAGAGAGGCGCCCCTCAGGCGTTCTTCGCTGGAAACCAAGACCGACCACCGGTGAACAGGTCGTGCTGGATTAGGCGTCGTGTCGGCTTGCGCGAGCCCGTCACCGCCGTCATCGCGGGTCGTGCATGCAACACATAGGGGAACGAGCACCATCTCCAGGCCACATCGCTGCTTTGCAACGTGAAAAGGCCCAGCAGGCAACAGTACGCTAAATCCTCTGTCGGCGCAGATGAAAAAATCGGATGTTTAAAGCGGCTGTGTGGCACGAGACGTTACCCCCAATACGCGACCTGGGGGTAAAGCTTTCATGCATTGAATTCCCCGGAATATTCGGTCCAATCTTAAGTTTGAATAAAATTCGATCACTTACCACCGCTTTCATAAATTTTAAATCCCAACCGATGTGAATGCTGTGGGAAGCCTCTGCTTGATAATACTAATACCATTAAAGCGTGTTTCGGCGCTAGTTAACCTAAAATGTCTCGTGAAATATATATGACCATTATTATTTCTTATTGGATACTGCAAATCCTATCATCTTTTAGCAGTTTCGTGCCCGAATATTTTTTCAACAAAATGGATCCTGTAATTGCAGCAAGCATGCAACCCGGAAAAACTTCAAAGCCAAAAACACAGAAGCGGCTCAGTGTCCCTTATATAACAGGCCCAGCGGCTCAGCTCAGATGGGCGATGGCACGGCATCTTCCGGTGCCAGAGAACCGTGCGCGACGTCCTGGCCGCTCACCGCGGGTGGTGCTGAATCTGCTCGTAGTTGGCGTAATGTCCGAAGTGCTGGTGGGCGTGGTCGGAGCCGGGGCCGGGGCCGGGGCCGGGGCAGGGGCCGGGGGCCACCACCAGCCCTGCTCGGCTTCCGGGCCGCAGCATCGGTTCGTATGGGTCACACAGGTCGCGCCGCGCGGTCGCCGCGCCGGCGGGGCCCGGGCTGCGGCACCCCGCGCCGCCGCTGCGGGTGCGCGGCTGCGACGCGCCTGCGGACCGGCCGCCGGGGCTGGGCGGGCGCCGGCTGGTCCGGCCGAGCCCGCGCCGGTCCGACGCAACGGCGCCGGCCGCGCCCGGGTCCGAGAGAGGCGAGCGGAGCCAGGATGAGCCTCCCGGGATACGGGCGTCGGAGCGATGTCTCGGAATCTGGGGTCAGGTGGGCCCGAGCTCGAGGCGCGTGGATCTGGGACACTACTGGGGAACACTCGTGATTCTGAGGGACCGTTCGAGTACGCCCGTAGGTCTGAGAGGCCAGTGGAGTACGCCAGAAGGTCTGAGGGACCGTTGGAATACGCCTGTGGGTCTGAGGAAGCATTGAAGTACTCATGTGGGTCTGAGGAACCATTGGAGTACGCCTGTGGGTCTGAGGGACCGTTGAGGTATACTCGTGGGTCTGAGGGACCGTTGGGGTATACTCGTGGGTCTGAGGGGCCTTTGGGGCATACTTGTGGTTCTGAAGGGCCTTTGGGGTATAACCGCGGGTCTCTGGAGGGGCCGTTTGGGTGGGTTTGCCGACTTGTGGGACCGCTGAAGTACGCTCTCGGGTCCGAGGAGACATTTGTGTACGCCCGGTGATCTAACGGACCACTGGGGTTACGTCGCCGGTCCGACGGACCGCTGGGAGACGCTCGTGCATCTGATGGGACGCCAGGATGGACCCGTAGGTCTGGCAGATCGTTGGGATTGGTCCGTGGCTCCAGTAGACAGCTTAGGTGGCCTCACTGGCTCGGTGGTCCACCATTGCTTCCCCCTGTCCGCTCCATGCGCTGAGGGAAATTAATCCGTGGCAGCCTGGCACGCAATGCAGGCCTAATCAAGAAACGAGCTAGATTATAGCGGGAAGTATTGGGAAAATGCCAAACATCGAACAGAACATTAGCAGCGAGCAAAAACGCAAGTATTGAGTAAAATACAACTATCGAACGCTAATCTTGCAGGCGAACACAATTATCACCAACAAACACCAATGCCATCAAAACGAGATGACCGCTGAGGGGTTAGCGTGCGCCGCGCGTCGCAGGGCGACGTGCAGGCAGCGGGTCAGCCCATACCACCGACGAATAAGAGAATGGCGACAAACAATCATCAGGCAAAACCCGTAGCCGCACGGCGTCCCACGCCCGACCCCAGACACAGGCGTGCGGCCAGCCGCAAGCAGGGGACGGCAGGCGAGGGCGGTGCGGCGGCGGTGCGGCCGGCTTGGATGGGTGCGCCTGTAACCACGCCCGGCCGGCGCACTGCCGTCAGCCCGTCCGGCGCGCCGCCCTCACACCGCACGCCGCACCGCCCACTGCGGGCCGCACGCCGCACCGGCGTCCGCAGAAGGCGCAAGAGCATAGCAGCGTGCTACGAGTTCATCACCTCCCCAGTTGACAGAAGGAAAATCGACAACATGTAGAAAAATCTAGAACCGTGATTACTAGGCGCTCTTCGCAGGTGGTCATCACTGATGGTCAAAGACTAGCTGGAAATGCGCAGTCAAACGCAACCAAAATGTAGTAGTGCTATTCATCTAACGTCTAGTACTATTTAACGTCAGACGAGCTAACATCTAACGTTTAATGAGCTAGTAACCACGGCATGTTCATAGACGTAAACGCCGATATCCTTCCTAGCGTTTAAACATTTCACGTTGCACTTCAGTCATTCCAAGACAGTCTGCGGAGGGGAGCGCCACCAAAAAATGACCCGTAGCACCCCACACAGGGGATCCACAATGGTGGACTTATAGCTCCAAATGTAGCGAAAATACAGACGGCAATGCGACATCGTGGATGTGTACAACTATTGCCAATATGGACTTCCCGTCTGCCAAACCCTTCCAAGACCTCTCCCTTACCCGCACGTGCAAGACAAACTGCGGATGTAAGCACATGAGCGTGTTGTTTTCGAACACAAGAGCACGACTACGGTCGCAATGGCTGATAGGCATCGGTCGCGTGTTTACGTCTCTGGAAAGCATTACAGGTAGTGTGTGGGTACGTTCATTTGGTTGACCTGATCTGGCTTTGAATTGCATATAACCCAAAGCAAGCTGCTTACTTGGTGACATTAAGGGGCTCCTTGAGACAATCAAATGAAGCAAATGACGCCAGCAATGCTAATCGTGCATGTTTTTACGTTGGACAGCAGCAATAGGAAGATAATAAGTCATCACACAAGCCAACAATGCCCCACATGAACCCCTCTGCAGGGCTGTAAGCGTACCGACCGAAAGAGCAGCACAAGGACACGGCCATTTCACCATGGCCGGGGCAGAAGCCCGCAAGCTGCGCACGCAGCGTGCCGCGATCGGTGCCCGCACTGCGCCGAACTGGAGCCGCCGCTCGGGAGCCTGCCTACCTGGCCGAGTCGGAGCTCTGCCGCCTCCTCGGCCGCCTCCGTCACGTACACGCCCTGGCGGCTGGCGTGGCGGCGCTGGTGCTGCTCACGCAGCTGCCGCATGCGGTCCGTGCGGCTGGGCGCGCGCTCCTGCGCCGTCGGCGTTAGCGGCCCTCCAGGCTGGCCCTGCGACGGCTGCCGGCAAGCCCGGTCGGGTCATGTCCGGCCAGGTCAGACCATGTCACATCAGGTCAGGTCGGGTCGGCTCATGTTCGGCCAGGGCAGGTCCGGTCAGACCATGTCCGGTCAAGTCAGGTCGGATGACGTCAAGTCAGGATTGGTTGGATCGGGTCGGGTCTGGCCATGTCCAGCCAGGTCAGGTCAGGCCGGTCGGGCCATGTCCAGCCAGGTCAGGTCAGGTCGGGTCGGGTCGGGTCATGTCCGGGGAGGGCAGGTCAGATCGGGTCGGGCTTGATCCGGTTGGGTCAATTCAGGTCAGGTAAGGTCCGGGCAGGTCAGTTCAGGTCGGGTCGGGTCACGTCGGGTCACGTCTGGCCAGGTCGGGTCAGGTCGGGTCGGGTCGCGGTATATGTGGCGGCATATGCTCAGACAGGGCATGCAGTGAACACGCCTACCACAGGGCCACGAAGCAGCTACAGCAGCTACACGGTCTCCAACTCGTCCAAGCTATTTAATCTGCTGATGCTTGTTCAAAAGAAGTGCTTCCCGCCAAGACACTGAGCCGTCAGCGTCAATCCAAGGTCCGCGCGGACATCAACGCATGTGAACTGCATCGTACACAGAGGTGCGCCTGTCTCGGCATATCGCTGCCGCAACAGTCCCCATCCGAGAGACAGCTGCCGGTCCGCTCGGCCACAGCGGCCATGCCGTCAGCTGCGTTCGACCAGTCACTGGCGGGCAGCTAAACAGCGGTGTACACTCGCTCGCCGTGCTCGGCGCCGGCCGTAGGGCACACCGCACCACTCACCGGCCTGTGCTGCTGCTGCTGCTGCTGCTGCTGTTGCCGCACCAGCCGCTGGTACTGCTGCTGGATGCGCCGCTGCATGTCCTCGGCTCGGCGCCAGGCCGCAATCCTGTTGAGCTCTTGTTGCTGCTGGCGCGGCTCGTCGGGCGTCCGGCGCAGCGCCGCGTCCGCCACCTCACCGCCCTTGCGGCGCCGGCCGAACCCGGCCACGCGCGGGCCGCTTAACACGGGGCCCGACATACCGACAGGACGAACGGGGGGCGCGTCATAATGAGCACGGTCAGGCGAGCCGATACGGTGTTGCTGCACAGCTACCCACACTGTGGGTAATGATGATGATAAGTTGGGTTTTGGGCGCATCGACTGCAGGATGTCACTCAGCACCCAACCCGGTACTGTGAGGCACACCTCGATGGACATAATGTGACATCAACACTATCCGCTAGCCCCGTGACTCGACTGCCCCCACAACATAATTCGGTTCTCGGGCATGCAAACGGGTTACGTATTCCAACAGTTCGCCAACAAAACACGGACACGCTGTGCGTTGTCACCAGTCGCCAGCGTTGAACGGCTGTCCCGCAGAGCGCCGCCCAACGCCGGCTTACCTCGTGCGCCATGGCCTGCAGCGACTCAAGACTGGAGGACTTCGTGCTGAGGCTGGAGCCAGTAAAACAGTCGCACTCAACACCCATAGCTTTTAGTCTAGTGCATTTCCTTTCGTCTAAAATAGTGAATTTTATAGCCAAAGGCGGCTTTTTTTACTTGGGTACCTGTATTGCCGACGGTGGGGAGAGAGCTACGCTGGCTGCAGGGTTCCTGTACTGCCGTGATGGAGAAATGCTGTTAGGTATCAGCCGACGTAGTGACGTCACTGAAAATGGGTTTGCATCGATCGGGGTTCTTTTGGGCCGGCTGAAGGCTACAAGGCATTTGCTAGCGATACGATGTCATTGGTATTCGACTGGATATGTGACGTCACTGGTTGTGAGGCTCTAGGGCTCTTTTGGGTGCAATGAATGCCGTAAAGCATCACCTGACGATATGTCGTCGCTGGTATTCAATGAAACATCAGGCGCAACAGGCCTTATTCCATCTTTACCTTTCGTACGTGTCTGCTGCAAGCATTTGCGTGCCGAGTAAAAGCTTGACCGAATCACCTGAATGTGTGACGTCACTAATCAACACTTGATACGAGTGCACTTAGGCCCCACGGCCGCGGTGTATCATGTTCCGTGAAATATCACCGGGTATCATGACGTCACTGATATTAGACTAAATATTGGTCGCAACAGGTCATGCTTTATTTGTACCTTCGTACCTGTCTACTGCAAGCACTGGCGTGATGAATAAAAGCTACCAAATCACGTGAGTGTGTGACGTCACTGGTCATGCATTTTTATGGATCTTTGGGGGCCAACTGAGGGCCGTAAAGCATAACCTAATGATGTGACGTCACTGGCATTCGACTGTGTGTGATGTCACTTGTGATCAGATT